CACACACACACACATTATTCCTTTCAATTTTCATCGTCTCTCTTCCTTAATTATTTTAAAATCAATTCTAACTATAGTTATATTATTTTAATGTTGGGTTGGAACACAAGTTTGTAGTGCTATAAACTTAAAAATTCAAGCAACTGTAATTTAAAAATGAACCAAATTAAAAAATTTAAAAAAGGTTTTTAAAGTTTAAAATCTTTATTTTTGAAAACTCGCTGTCTTTTGAATGAATATAATTTTACACAAATATAAAAAAATTTCGAGTTGGACAAAATGGGAAATTTTTTTCTCACTTTGTGAGCTTGTCACGTAACTAAAAAAAACTTATGAAAATTTTCGACTTTCTAACGTGAAAGCTTAAATTTTTTCCTACGTAAAATCGTTTAAAAAAATGTTTCTACAAGAATTTTTTAATATATTCGACTGTTAATTTAGCATTTGATTGTATTATTTCAAGATTTTATGTTAAATTAATATTCGACATTTCTTAGTCAAGTCTTAAATGACGTAATTTATGAGTAAGTGAATAAATAACATATTTATGAGTAAGTAAAAATAAAGTGTTTTAAAACGTAAATTCTACAATGAATGAATACAACGTAGGTAAATTTAACATATCATCAATGTTAATTTTACTGAAAAAAAATATGCTTCCACGGTTTGTTTACAAACTGTGTCGATATTATCTCTTTTGTATTAATTCTCTTACGTAATATTTATGTAACCTTCTAACATTCATCTTGTATTAAATTAATCCAAAAATTTGAGTTGGACCGTTTGGGACATACGATTTATGTTAAATTCGATATATTTTTTTCAACAAGTATTACGTATAGTTGTCTTATTGAAGAGATTTTAATTTACTTCTGTGTTGATAAAAAACGAAAAATAAACGTCGCGTTTAATACTAATTTAATATAATCTAATATGCTTTTCCATATCTCCTCAAAGAGTTGAATCATAACGTCAAAGAGTCGGGGGCGGCTACACGGATATTAAATATCGCACACACGCCCAGTATCGCTTCGAAATTGCACGGGGAAGATAAACACGAGCGCAAACACGCGATTGCATCGCCGTGGCGCGATGTAACTTGGTGCAAAGTTTATGGGGGATCATTATTGTCTCTTTTACGCGCGATCAAAGCCTCCCTGTTGACTCTTCATTGATCCACGGCTTGTCGATCCTCTGTTACCAATTCGACGTACACGTACAATATAAATCACGAAGAATCATATACGTGACAATTTGCCGTAAAATACGCTAATTGTAATAGTCGTGTTAATTTTCACAGAGATGAGGAGATAGATTTTCGGCTTGGATTACGTCGCATCATTAATCCGAAGTCTCGGCATCGGTATCTTTGTTTATTTTTTATGCTTTCCCTCTCTCACTCGTGGACAACAAAACGTGCCCAACGTTGTAGCGCTAGAAGTGTCCATGGCTCTCCTCTCTCTCCCGGGAAGGCCGCCCGCGTCTCCCCGATGAAAACACGCAACGTCGTAATCGCGATATAAAAATAATGAAACAGATTCCGCGCGAGATAGGCGGCGCGGGCGCTGGCACGATGCGCACCTCTATCGAGCTCTACGCTACTTCATTGCATCGCTTTAAGATTGATATATGGCTCCGTAATTAATTACCGCGCCGTTAACGCAGTGTAGGGCTTTCTTCCTCCCCCCCTCTCTCTCTCTCTCTCTCTCTCTTACTCTCTTTTGACGTAACAAGAGCACGCATTCTCTACGTTGTGCTAATTATCGCAATACGTATGTGAATTGAATAATGCATTTATTTTATCAGATAATTACGCGCGGCTTGTCGAATAAAATATTCCTACTGTGTTATTGTTTTTCTCCGTTTTTTGAAAAAAAAAAAAAGAAAGAAAGAAAACGTCGCGTCATTTCCGTTAATTTCGATTCGATAATTAAGACTCCTTGAATGCTCCAGCGGCCTTTACATTTTACGTGATCTCCGGAACCGTCCGGGCAGAAAAATGACTTCATTGACCGTATAATATGATGCTTTATCGCAAAAAACAAAATTAAAGAAACATTTTTACGGATAAACTAATGAGAAGTGGCAAATTGTATAAAAAAAAAGTTTTCTTCTTTTCTACACTTAAACGAGGTTTTTCTAATATAAATTTATCAAATATAATTCAAATTCTTAATTGTCCAACACTTTATTAAATAATTTTTCAGTTGGTTACAAAATCTCGAATATGCAGAAACGTTTTTGTTGAAATATCTAAAAACTTAGCCAGAGATACTGAACTGTATATAATTTTATTAGACTATCAAAATAATTATCTAGGAAACATCTTGAACATTATGAATAAAAAATCTTGATATTTCAGCAACTGTCGTTCTGCTAATTATTTTAATAGATTCTAACGAAATTATCTTTAGATCTGTATTTAATTAAATTTTTAGATGCTTTTGAACCGTTCTTTTCACTTTATTATAACTATCCATATCAAATCTTCTTCAAGAAAAGAAATATATTTCTTTTTAATAAATACTCCTTTTAATATATGTATTATAAATTATAAATTGAATATTATAATTCATAAATACTTTTATCATCCCATTATCTTTCTCTACTGTTTCGCATTACACAATAGACGTCTCATCTTAAAATATTCGCGATCGCTTTATTAATGTAAAAAAATCAATAACCGTGTCGTGATCCACGGTGTCATATCGCGATACGTTATCGAAATTACAGATCAGGTTTTAGTTTAATTTTATTTTTAGTTCGTACGCGAGCAGTAACGAGGATTCTGAAAGTTGATGTTAGGGTGGTGCATGTTCGCAGACCTCTCGCCATTGGGTGATAAAAGCGGAAGCCTCGTCGACGAGCTCGGCGGTGGTGGCGGCGGTTCCCTCAGGAACGGCAAGGGCAAGAAGATGAGGAAACCGAGGACGATTTACAGCAGCCTGCAATTGCAGCAGCTCAACAGGCGGTTTCAGAGAACGCAGTACCTCGCGCTACCGGAAAGAGCGGAGCTCGCGGCTAGCCTCGGACTCACGCAAACGCAGGCAAGTTCTATCGACATTATAAGACAAGCAGACTAGAGCGCAAGCTTCCCACGACATAGTCGTGCAACGATAAGTACCTCTTATCTCGCGCTACTCGTGACAGGTTGGCGTAAACAAATTGCGATAAACGTAAACACAAAATATAATACTTTGCCTAAGCGAACATTATAGGATTTTTAGATTTTGCAAACGTTCAATTATTTAATCACGCTAGAATAACACTAGAATATTTATTTATTTTAATATAGATTCGACAAAGATTATTAACAATTATTGGAAAAGTAATTTTTTATTGAATTTTATATTTTACTTTTATATGTACATAAATAATATATTTTTTAATTTATAAGATATTGAAAAGAGTCCATTCGAGTATTGCGATATATTCAGCGAAAATACTATTATGTTAATATATCTCATGATATAGAAATTGTCTCTCCATATATATATATTTTGCCTAGAACTTATTTGAGTTGTAGCTGGAACAATATCGCGTTGACATTTGCACCGAATGATAAAATATCTGAGATATATATTTCCGCGGGCAAAACAGGTTTTTCACTCCGATATGGATTATCAGGAAGTACTGTCGGAAAGACCTCACGAAATCGCGTAAACGAGTGAATTCCGTGCGAACGACAACGCATCGCACACGACGTTTTATCTTGCAAATGATGAGAGACTCTCGCGTCGTGATTAGAATTTTGCATTTTATCGAAACGGCGCATGACAATCTTTATTTTATATATTTTTTTACGATGAATGGATCCAGTTGCGTGAGTTGCGTGGTCGGTCCGCGGTAACGGGAGCCCGATAAACGGCATCTGTCAGCATTATCGGCACAAATGACTTTACTAAATCACCGATTTGCCACGCCCTGGACATCGGGGATAGGGTTGCCGTCAGTGTCCAGTGTACTCGAGGGAAGGAAAGAGAACGAAAGAGACAAGTTTCCGGGCTAACGAGGTGCCCATAAATTTTCTCCCGCGGCGATCGTGCGAGTTTTGCGCGAGCTTTCCACGCGGGCGGGGCTTTATGCGCTCGCCGGCGAAAGATTTTTCGCCAATTATCTGTCGCGCGGTTTCCAATTAACGATTTATTAGCGAAGCTCGAGCTACATAATTGGAGAGAAGTTAATTGGCTCCGAACTCGTCCGTTATAGATTTCTCGGGTATAGATGACGATTTATCGACTAGCCAAAGTCCGTGGCTAATTAGAACGAATTTCACCGGACAATTCAAATTCATTCGGATTAACAATCGCAGTGATCGTGTTGGCAGTTTATCAAGCGTCGAGCGCACCGCGTCGTAAAGTTAGTTTCTTTCTGTATTACTATTGATTTGTGTGTGCGGTCTGACGAGATTACACGTTCCTTCGCACAAAATTATGCGTTTCATTGACTGATGCGAGACGAGATGGAGCAATTTTCGCGGTTGCTCTTTGTGCGTTCCTCACCCCTCCGAAGAAGTGTGTGCACAATCGTCGTGGCGCAGCGCGTAACTGCGTATCGCGTAATCATGGGATAACTGGCTGTCGTAGCTGGTTGATGTCGTTGCAGGGGGTCCCGGACCGGATAATTTCATTAGACGGAGCACCGCGGGAGTTGTTCTCCCCCCGTGAGCGAGTGAATCGAGCGCGACGCAACCTGATGAGCAGTCGGCGTCTGGTTGTTTACTAAACACGGCGTTCGAAATCAGCGGTAGCCGCGCGCGCGAGAGAGAGGAAAATTAAATTACGAAATCTCGAAATCAGATTATCTATTACATCTTCTATACATCAAAATGTAATCCGTTATTTCATTTCCGTCAGCGTAGAATTGATCGACGCAACAAACTAATAAAAAAATTCGGCAAACGTCAACCTTCGATTATATATACGATTGTATTAGAACGAGAAATAAAGTTTTAAATTTTTTTTTTTCTCGGATGAGTATAGAAATCGACGATGAAACAATTGAATTTCACGTCGGATACCAACCGTAAATTTTCTTTATTTTGAAATACGGGGAGGATGACTTCTACCTTTTGTCAAACGCTCAGCATCTCCGCGGCTGCATGTAACGAAGAATGTTCCGCCGCGCGCGATCGGTGGAGCTCTTCAGCAGGCACCGTGCATAATCCGTAATCGTCCAATCAAGGCGTTCGACCAAGCGCCTCTGCCTCTGCACTCTTGGCCCTGCTACCGTCGCGCACTGGCTTTCTTGTCATCGCCACCAACATGGCGCCTTAGCCTTCAGTCTCTTCCATCTTCTCCTCTTTCCTCGTCCCCTCTCTTCCTTATACCACGACAGCCTCGTCGTCCTCCCGGCGATCTCCCCTCGCACATTTCCCCGGCCACCGGCTCTCCCCATTCTCCTCCTCCTCCTCCTCCTCCTCCTCCTCCTCTTC